ACGATCATTTATACGGAGACTAGGAAGAAGAAAAAAAAAAAAAAAGAAAAATGTCCATCAAGTGACTCAATGACGTGGAATGCATCTCTCCGTCTCTCTCTCCTTTAATCCCCTAACGACGTCTTCAATATGCATTACGCCGTGTTTCACGGCGATACGATCGGTGGATGGTGAATACACGAAATCGTAAATAATCGAAGATGCGCCAGGCAGAAGAGATAAAATTGAGAGTATATCGAAACCAGTTATCGTGATCATAGTTTTCGCGATCACTACACGCGAATATATATATATGTATAGCGAATTATTATATACACCATATCATATACATTCCTCTCAAAAAATAACAATCGTGGAAAAGAAAACCGATTCTCTGTGTTTTTCACATCACATGAGCGCACGATGATGATTAAATAAGATGCTTGAAACGATATTAAAAATAATGCAAATCCCTTTTGAGCTGTATCGAAGAGTAAGAAGATAAATGAAGGAAAGAGAGAGAGAGAAAAAAAAGATTCTAACGACAATGGAAATATTAGGAAGATTTTTTATCACATCCAATATCACGTCTTCGTAGAGGAATGTGTTTGTCGCGAGGACATAGATGGATTAGTATCGTGAAATGTCAGTTTTCGATTGAACGAAGATCCATCTTGGAAGGTTGATTACTTAATCATCGTGCATTTTGCAATCTCTACGAACGAACGTGGCCGTTCGTGCATAGCTGTCGACGTTTGTAAAGTCAAGAGCAAACGAGACAAGGTCAAAAATAAATGACACGTGAATTAATAACGTGGACATACATATGCAAAAAACGACACTTAACTTGGCTGATTTAATGACTAGTAATAAGTGTTAAACGCTATGTCAATTTGTATTTTGCATTTTTTTTTTTTCCTCTTTTACTTGTTTTAACTTATCATCGCTAGAAAAGAAAACTGATCAAAAATCAATGGTCGAATTGATCACAATTTCCGCGAAGCAGAATTAAAAAAATGAAATTAGGGAACAAACTTTACCTTGTTCCGTACAGCAACCAAGAAGAGTGACAACGTTCGGATGGCTGCCAAGCTGCTGCATGATTTCCAGTTCTCGAACCAGATCCTCCTTCTCGCGTTCGGAAGCACCCTCTTTCACCGTTTTCACGGCCACTAACCGGGTCGTCCCTTGATGACCTGTCAAATCATCCGCTTCAGCCTTCCAGACCTAAGAAGATAAAAAGTCATTTCGACTTTCTAATAGGATTTTAATTATAAGATTCGTCCCTTGCGTGAAACTAAGTTCAAACTAGGTTAATTTATGTATAATATATCAGAATGAAAATTATTATATGCAACGAATCAATTATCATTTAACAGAATTTTTTCGAACAATATTTTCAATTTTAATTCTCTCGTCCGTTAAAATCGTATTAAAACCTATTACAAACGTTAAAACAAAACAAATTAAATCCTTCCCAATTAGAAGATAATTTTATAAATTACTGGAAAAAGAGAATGAATTATGCGATAATAAAATCCACTGTAAATAATCGATGAAGTCAATAAGGAATCTTAGAATTAATGAGAATGACTAAAAGTAACTCGAACGTTTACTTAAAATAAAAAAAAAAAAAAAAACATTCGAAATCCATTACGCATCCTCAAATTATACTGAAATTAATTATTCTTGAAGGAACTTCTAGCACCATCGATAATATCAATAATCGATATCTATCGTCAAGAATCAATTTCACATCTCTTCAAGAGATGGTTACACATTCGAAAAATTTAATAAGAACGGAAACAACATCGTTTCGTTTAATCGAGAAGAAGAAGAAGAAGAAGAAGAAGGCCGATTCAAACCGATTTCACAAACCGAATTTTCGCGCTTACGGCCTCAACGATTTATTATCACACCTCTCTCTCTCGAGGCCTCGAAGATGTTCCTGTCCCGCGCGAAATGGAAGACCAACTCCTTACCTGGCCGAAGTTTCCTTGGCCGAGGACCGTCTGTAACCTAAGCTTATCTCTAGGAAACTCCCATCTGGATTCTTGAGACGAAGGGGGCGGTGGTTTCTCCGCTTCGTGACACTGGAACAGGAGAAAGAAGGTGGTTGGTATATCGTTTCGTATCGCGAACGATAATTATTTAAAAATGCCTGACGAATAAATCTGCGGCACATCCTCCCTTTGATGTACCGCGACTCCGGGCGAGAAGCAGAATTGCTCTCCGTTCCGCTCTCTCTGAATTATCGTTCCTTCCAGCCGATTATTTTTTAATGAGCGGGCCGAAGCAGTAATTTCTCTATGACTCGACGATTTTTATTTTTTATTTTTCTATCCTTTTGTTTTAATTGAGTTATAATAAGATGCTTAAAAACGGTCTTAACAGTAGTATTGTACAATGTAAAATATCATTTTACGCTTTATTGTTTCTTAATGAAAAGTTGGAGAAGAATGAAACAAGGTCGAAATGATCGATTAATCTTCGTGTATTTCTTTTTTTCATTCTTCTGTATTAATTGAACTTTGAGATATAAGAAGCAAGATACGCGTCGTGAGATATTATTTTGTATTCCATCTGCTTTTTAATGAAGCATCCGAATCGTTGTAGAAAATTAAAATTATGACACGGAATATGAATAAATACTCTCAATGATTTAAAAATAATAATTTTAATCGTTTTATGATGAATAAGTGTTTCGTAAAAAAATAATTCATTTCTTTCTATATAAATAATTTATAATAAATATATGATAAATATCTAATTTCGTATGTAATTCCTTAAATTAAATTTTATCATATACCATGAAAAAATGATTTTATATTTTATATTCGTAAGAAAGAGAAAGAGGAAAAAAAATTATTCGATATTACTCACCAAGTGTTGTATCCTAGGAAGTTTCGTGATCGCTTTCTCGATGGACGTTTTGAAGTCGCCATTCTCCAGATTCAAAGCATCCTTCCTGCAACTTATTTCCGACGACGTATCCGATTCCTCCAGCACCTATGCAAAATATTAACGTCATCATCGTCACGTACCTTCACTCGACAAGAACGTGCAATTCCCGCGAAACTTTGATTTTTCCTTCGAATATTTTTCACAGTTCTTCGAGTGATCGTGACTCAACGCATCGAGGAATACAAGATAGTCACGTTTCAACGACAACGACTGTTTATTTAAATTATGAATATTCGATTAATGCAAAATGCCGGTTTTCTTATAAATGGAATCGTTTATACTAACGAAAGGGACGTGAATATTGAAGATAATGCTTATGTACTCGATCACGATGAAAATAAAATTTGAAACTTCGGGATAAAGGACGGGCATCGCGAACTCGATGAGGAGGAGAAGAAGGAACGTGCTTGTTGGACGGTCTATACTCGACTATTCCTTCTCTCCGTGGAAGAAATCATTTTCTCTCTCCGCTTCTTTTTATCGATCAACGTGAATAAATAAATAACTCGAAGCGAATAAATTATCGGTTTATAACTAATCTTTGAACCGTGTATTCGCATTCGAAAGATCATCGTTATGAATTATACATTTTTGTTACGAGTCAAAGACACGATAAATTGAAACGATTACTATTTTTTTTTTTTTTTTTTTTTTGACCAACAAGTTTCCTTCCGTTTCTTTTCTGAAAAGTTATTTTTGAGATACTTCTTCTCCCATTTTTTTTTTATTAATTTAAAATTCAAATTTTTTTCCATTATCCGCACAAAACGTTATTAATATTAAAAAATCCAAAGATCCAACCAGAGTTATTGAGAATCATCCGTAAAAATTTAATCGAGCTCCATTGTATCCATTCCGTGTGGCGAGTTCAAGGACACGTACAAATTCAAAGAATACAACTCTTATTCACCTATATTATATCACCTTCGTTTCCACAAATTTATTTCTCTACTTCAACCTTATCTCTTATGGAATCAATCTCCAACTTCTTAATTATCTCAAACTTATCTCGATAACTCGATCGAGAGAAAGGCTCTCTTATTTTTCGTACTTGCACCACAAGGAAGATAACGAAAGTACACAGTAAGGTTTAATGGCCGGATGATAAATGCCCAGGATGGTCGACGATAATCCAAAGGGATACCGCGTAACGGTACATAAGTGGCGGTGCTATACAATTCGCGTCGTTTCGATTTAGCGATCATCGGCCAGATACGCTTTACGGTACACAATCGTAAATCAAAGTTTTTGCCCGGATAATACAGCAGGCGGAGGAGGAGGAGGAGGAGGAGGAGGAGGAGGAGCAGGGCCGAGAGGAAATTACACCCGCCGGACTGGAATCACGGCCGAATAAAAATGAAACGTTTAGCGGCTCAAGGATACCATTTCGAATGGCCTCCCTTCGCGCAGCTGGGAGCATCGCTTTGAGATCCTCGCGTCGATCAAACGGATAGACGTTGAATTTCGTTCGAAGGGGAGAAAGAAGAAGGTTTTTGCCCACTGATCTTGTGACTCTGATTCGGTATCCAAATCCCGTGGTATGCGGGAAAGAAGAATCGTAGAAGATTCTATGATCGTATAAAAAAATATCGAAGCAAAGATTTTCATTCGAAAATAAAAAAAATAAACGGTGAAATTACCAATGATCAAGAGAAAAAGAAAAAACAAGAAGAAGGTCACTGGCATCAACCTTGCTCCTACACCTCCACCAATTGAAACGGACTCTGGCCCGCCATCGTGAAACATACACCACTTTCACCCGACCTATATTATATACCCATATACGTATATACACTTTCTAATCTCCAAACACCCGTGCATCCATCATTTAAATCATTGATCGATCGCTCACCTTACGATTCCTAAGTATCAGTCTTCTAAGAATTAGGCCAACGCCGACGGCGATCGGGAACACGACCAACGTCGCCAAGATGTAGCTGACCACGGCGACCGTCTCCTGAGACGCGATCGCGTCCCCGTCGTGCCTCTTCGATATCACTTCACTGATATTCACCGACTCCCTCGGACTGACCGATATCAGTCCGGTCTCGAACAACGTCCTGTTCAACTCGCTCGAATACACCGAGGTGTTGTATTCGGGCAAAATGGGATGGTGATACACGGTCCTGTGCCTCGTACGATTCCCACTTCCGTTGCCAGTCGAC